AGCAATGCCCAAAGAAATAAAACTGCAAATGGGAGTTCGCATTTCCTGTTACATAAATTTTGATTGGATATCATTACTATTTATTGTCTGTTCATGACGTTATCATCATCATCATAAATCATGAACTGAATCGATGCCCGCGGGTGTCATTGGCAGAAAAATAGGTGTTCTCTCTTGAGATGAAGAATAAGTCATAGTAGAGATATCTGTGTAAATTAAAATGTAATATAGGTAGGCGAAATAAGACTTATCTTTCGCGTTCCATTACTTACAAGTCTTACAACTTCATGTAACTAATTCATATGTAAGAAGGACATAAAATTACTGAATGCAAAAGTTTATGTTAACAAGCAGTAGGTAAACTAAATACGGAACCATACACTTCGTTCACCCGGCACTCCCTTATCCCTTTTGATCCCCAAGGCTCAGTGCGACAATACGCACAATGAGGCCTGGGATAAAGCCTGGTACTGATACCTGAGCGCAAAAAACTGCGCCTGCGTTGGTTGCCATAGCTCCAAGCTCAACAAAAGACGGTTGGAAGCGCGGCAAAATTGGCCCAGTTGACAGTCTTGTTCGTTTTTTAAAAGCTTTCAATTGGGTCTAGTAGGCATTGATGGAACTGAATGCGAGCACTGATGCGTGATTATGAAGATATAGGTGACAATTTTGACTACGCATACCTATCTAAGTACGGAAAGATATTTAGGTACAGGTACTAACTTACCTATCCTACATTCTTAAAAAAGACTGAACATAACTACCTACGTAAGTTCACTAAGTACCTATAGTTAGTAGAAATACTCACACATTCAAAACACAATAACTTTTCATTTCACCCTAAACCAGCCTGGCTAAAAATACCAACCATTCTATGTATAACAATACAATCAGATTTTATAATGTAGGCAGGGGTTGTAGGTAGACCTACCAAGACCTACGTAGTTGCATAGTTGCAATACATAATAACTGATAGATAGAGTCGTATCTATGTTGGTTAATTGGATTTGTAACTGACAAATTGCAATATTTCTTGAGACATTATTACGTAGTGAGTCCAAAAGTAATTTTTCACAAACATGAAACTGAGTTGGATCATTTTACGGCCCTACATCGCTTTTTTACAGTTAGTCAAATAACTCTACTGACATGTAAGAAATTTGTGAACGTCAGAATGGCGGGTGTATGATCACAGAAATGAATAAAATAAATATGATTAATTAATACCTGAGGTGTACCTTGGTGTACCTTTAGTTATTTATTTTGTACTTCCCGAAGACGGGAACAATTACGATTACTAAATGAGCCGCCAACCTGATATCAGGTTGGCGGGTGTATGCTAAAATTGGACGAAACAGGTAAGTTGTGGTATTCTAATATTTATAATTATTTAGTACCTGAGATGTACCTCACAAATATATTAATACGAACCAAATGAGACGAATAATTAACGAGAAAATCAATACGAAAAATTTGATATCCACCATTTTCTTGATGGCCACCATTTTTTATAAGAAGTTAGAAAGTAGATACAGACACAGATAATACATACCGTAGTATTTTTAAAGTCTGTTTTTTATGACAGGCACACTTGTGAATTTGCCAATACCATTAATTTGCTAAAATCAAAAAGTATTGATAGCAGCGCCCTCCTGTAAATGTCATAAATAAGGTTGTCCAACGTGGCAACAATCGGAACTAATAATCGGGACATCGTCCTCTTCAAATTTTATTTTCTTCTTCTTTTCGTCTAGTAGCAAATTAATGGTATTGGCAAATTCACAAGTGTGCGTGTCATAAAAAACAGACTTTAAAAATACTACGGTATGTATTATCTGTGTCTGTATCAACTTTCTAACTTCTTATAAAAAATGGTGGCCATCAAGAAAATGGTGGATATCAAATTATTCGTATCGATTTTCTCGTTAATTATTCGTCACATTTGGTTCGTATTAATATATTTGTGAGGTACATCTCAGGTACTAAATAATGATAAATATTAGAATACCACAACTTACCTGTTTCGTCCAATTTCAGCATACACCCGCCAACCTGATATCAGGTTGGCGGCTCATTTTGTAATCGTAATTGTTCCCGTCTTTGGGAAGTACAAAATAAATAACTAAAGGTACACCAAGGTACACCTCAGGTATTAATTAATCATATTTATTTTATTCATTTCTGTGATCATACACCCGCCATTCTGACGTTCACAGAAATTTGACACTCGAAGACGGATTAGATACGTAGTTTCCAGATATGAACACCCTCTTTAAAACGGGCACACAATAGAAGAAGGGACAAAAGTCCCGCACGTGTGTTAGACAAGTCCAGCTAAGATGGGTGTAATGAATAGGCTGAATGAAGAATAGATCTCAAATGATGGGCAGATAACGACAGAAGACTCATGTACCTACTTACGTAAGTCTTGAGCTTGAGGCAGGGCAGGGAAATCGGCAATCCAAATACAATTTCTGTCTAAGAAACCTAATCTTAACTAAGTAAGTAAGTAGAGGAGACCGAGGAGAGTTGTAACAGAGTGTGACATTGTCGATTTTTTGGAACTTTCAAGTCTCAAGCTAACAAATGAGTACCTACTACGCGCAGTTGCGAACTCGCTGAGAGTTAGGTAATAAGTTTCCAAAAAATCAACAATGTCACAACTCTCCTCGGTCTCCCCTAGGTAGGTATGCATTTATTTATAAAACACACCATTTTTTATTGTCATCGTTTCGAAGCAAGGACTAAATACCTACACAGTGCCAGTGTTTCGAATAAAACCTATTCTTCAAATATAATTAATTATACATCGGCATATTATTATAAGACATCTTACCGCTAATAAGTTGGATTTCCAATACAACTTTTTAAAGTTCGGCAACAGCACAATAATGTTCTATTAGCACAATTTAATTGTAAGTTCGCAACTTAACCGTCACTTAACGAAGAACCACTGCGAACATCGATTTAAATTAAATAAAAATAAAAGTAGTGGTGTAACATTACTGCGCAGTGAAAATAACACTAATGATGAAAAAAAAACCTCAGTCCACAGATAATCTAGGCTTTTTTTATGTTAATGAAGTAGATGTCCATAAATCTTTACCATAATTTTCCATAAATACCTACCTGCCGTACAGCCTAACGCCTTGGCCTATATGAAATCAAGCGCCCTCTACCGCATCACAACTATGTAATCACAAGGGTAATAAAATATAGGTGGTAGGTACTTCGTAAAATTTAATTTAAAAAAAATGGTAAGTCGGTTTTTGTTNGAAGAATAACAGTGCTGTTGGAACAATAAACCTTGATTGCGACTATGATCGACCGAGCGTGTATAGATACGCGTGTGCAAACAGGCGCGTGGCGGCCCGGACTGATTTGCAACTTGAAGTTGTCGCGCGCTGTAGGTAATTATCTCGGCCGACATAGGCGAGTGACGGAGGCCTGGTTTTAGGATCAGGGATCAGGCGAACTTCGTACCGCCTAGTTTCTCCAGAAATAATGTAGGCAATGGTCAATGATATTATATAAAAAAAAGTGAAAGAATTCTTCAAAGTCCAGTAGTTTGGGAGCCTATTGAATACAAAAATCTCTCTTTATATTTATTAGCTACACTGTAGCATAACTGTAGGTACTGTCCTTTCCCTATGGATGTCTGGAAGAAATCGCTTCCTAACTATTATACCGCCTGATTGTGGCATTTGAAACCCATATTTTGTCTGTGTGGTGTGTGCATTATAGAGTATTTATTTATTTTTAACTTCTATCATTGTATAATATGAATAATGAGTACTATTAGGTAAGTACTTCTATTATAGGGATGATGTAATAAATCAAACCACATTTGCGTGTTACCACCATTTATTGGAATTTTCCTAAAAAAATTGAATAAAAAATATTGTATTTCATCAACATGTTATTTTAGAAATGAATAATATACAGTTGTAGAAAACATCGCCCGTGGGAGTCGCTCTCTTGCACGCAGATAACAATATTATTATTAATTATTATTATTTATTACAATGTATCTAGAGAACGTTCCTAAAACGTAAACGCACTCCTCAAACGAAGACTAATCCACAACTACGGGTGACGTTCAAAAATAACATATTTATGATTAAATATACTAGGATAAGTTGACGCACATGTTAGTTTACGTTTAGGGAATATTCGTTAGGCCACAGAGGTACTGCTGTCTCACTCACTGCACACATAAGCGGGCGTTAATCGGTATTACATTTAAATCTAATATTATCATGTTGAAAACACCGTTCGGCTTTTACGAGCCGCTGGAGCCGAAAAAGTGTAACGTTTCCGGGTCGGCTTTGTCGTTATTAAATACTGGAGCCGATTCAAGCTCGCTTATGTGTGCAGTAACTCTCTCGCGGGTAGTGGGATAGTTCCATGAAGCTACAGATAAAAATGGAGGCCAGACTCCCAATACCTACTTGAAGCACAAACTAAGTATCAGTATCTCGCTCTCTGTGGGCAGACTTGCTCTTTCTAAATAAAAAAAAAATATAAAATTGCTCAAATTCAATGAAACCAATGTAAAATCTTTATTTCTTGACATAGGTATCATTAAAAATGATAAGTGTAGTTACTGGTAAAACGTTTTAGGAAGAAATTACTGTAAAAAATGTGAAAAATGTTTACAATGATCCAATGTCGGAAATCACGAAATAAACACTTACGCGTGGAATCTTATGTCACTTCCAGGACAGCACGTACTACCGCAACCACGCACTACAAAATTTTGCACCAATTCTTGTGATAAAACAATGATTATTTCCTGTAAACAATCTCAAACGAAATTAACTGCTTAATAAACAAAATAGTAAACAACCGCCATGATGGGCCGGATTGGGCCGATGTTGCCACATGGTACCGATTACCCAGGAATTGGGATTGTAATTCCCTGATTCGCCAACACATTAAGCCTAAATGGCCGACAATTTTGTGATTTTTTATTTAACTAGGTAATCTTAGTTTCAAATATTAATTATTTATTCAACTTCTGATTTGGTTAGTGTATTGGCTATTTCGAAGAATTTACAAGGAGATTTAAATCAGAAGATAGCAATACTACAGTTCACACTAAAAAGAGAGGTAGGGCCGCAGAGAGCGAGATAGATATAAGTAGGTATTTGACTCAAGTTTTGTTCCAAACTCTGCCCTCCATTTTTATCTGTAGCTTCATGGATAGTTCTGACGCGGCTGAGGCGGGCGGTACCCCTCTGGTGGGATGTGTAGGGACGCGAGCGACTGTAGTCGGCGCGGTGTAGTCAGTCTCACTCGCTGCGCTTATTCTAATCTTCGTCTTCTCCACTCTCGGATTCTGCAAATGGAAATGATGCATTTAAGTAAAATTATGTTACGCTGACCATTCAACAAAGCATGATTTCTAAGACTACGGATATCCATAAAACTGCAAGACTATCTTAACCATATACTTATAAATGTGAAGATGTTTCGTTACTCTTTCACGTAAAAATTACTGACCGGATTTTAATGAAACTTTACAGAATTATTGTTTAACCACAATAACATGCAATACAGACTATAATTTACAACATTGTTGAACAAATTGGCCAAATTTCAACAATTAGTGTCAAGAAAGTCAGTCTTTCTGCGACTAAAGTGGGCAAAGCCACTGGCAGAAGTTATGTACTTTAAAAACCCAACCTGTCTAAGGAGCGTAAGCCAAATCCTCCATTTTTCTCTGGTAAACTCCTGCAGTGAACTAGTGACGTCCACTGTTGGACAAAGGCCTCTTTCAAGACCACGGGCCGGAAGACATGACGTGGGCAGGCCTCCCACTAGGTAGGACAGGACCTGTCGTGGCAGTCCTTAGGGATGATGACGACAATATATAAAATAGTTCCTTACCCTCCTCGGCGCTCTGCAGCCACTCGACGAACTTCTTCATCTGGTCGAGGAACATCATCTTGCCCTTGGACGAGTTGGGGTCGCGGTACCACTTGAGGATCACCTCCTCGGACAGCACGTTGGTCTTGTACAGCATCAGCACCAGCTTGCTGAAGGCGCGCATGAATGACATGTTCTCGTAGCAGTACTCTTGCACCTGCAATGGGAATTGGACTGTTGTAAGTATTTTTAAGTAAACCAACTAAAGTCGCTGACATAGCCCGACGAATTAGCAAGCTGAAGTGGCAATGGGCAGGGCACATAGTACGCAGAACTGACGGCCGATGGGGCAGTAAAGTTCTGGAATTTGTCAGTTTTCTGGAAGTCATTGGGGGAGGCCTATGTTCAACAGTGGACGTCCTGTGGCTGAAATTATGATGATGATGAAGTATTTTTAATTCATGGAAGACATTAATTTCGATATGAGTTTTAGATGTTGATTATGGTTGCAACTTGCAAGGAGACATCAAATTTTATCATTTTTTGTTTTGGTATAATAATTTTATTTAATTTATAATATCCTATTTGTAGTTCAGAAACACAGGGTATGCTGAATATGATTCAGAACTTCATCAAAACAAGAAATCGCGTCTTCACTGTTCACTTAAAATATTAGTACCTAAGCACCGAAATTATGATTTATCAATGGGTGTAAAAAAATGTGATAAGTCGGCCTAAAATGCACGCCATGATAAACTTATCGATTTTCCGCGATAAGTCCATACGTTAATGGTCTAAAATCATCAATAAGATTTTTAATCATGGCGCATCCTAGCCCAACACGAGCATATTAGATGATAATAATGATGTTGAGCAGCATTTTAGTCGAACACCACAGAGCAGGATCGACATATCACACTGGTCAGTTGATTTCGCACATTTCGACACCGTGTGGCGCTGGACACGCTTACCCGGCTCTAATTGAGTGCTTATTAGTGTTAGTTTAAAATTGCTTATCACTTTTAGGATGCGACAAGCCGAAGAGTCTTGTGTTCAAAAATGGCCTGCTGGTGATGACATTTTATTAATTTTTGGATGCGACAATCCTGCAAGCATGTGTTGATGATAACACTATTCTACTATTTTAAACTCTACTAGTAAAGGTTAAGTAGTCCATGGGGGATAGCTTGTTTTGGAACCCCCAAAAATTTTAATCAGAAAAATATAAATGACTAGCGGCCGCCCGCGACTTCGTAGGCGGTAGATCCCGTTTTACCCCCTTAGGGGTGAAGTTTCGTAAAATCCGTTCTTAGTGAGCACCTACGATCTAAAAGGAACCCTTCATGCAAAATGTGAGACTTAGCACTTGTAGTTTCTGAGATTTCGTGATGAGTGAGTGATTCAGTCAGTCAATTAGTCAGTGACCTTTCGCTTTTATAAATATGGATATAAAATATGTTATCTTTACCTTAGAGAGCAGCGCGATCTCAGCCTTAGCGTTCTGCGCAAACGCAGCCAGCAGCGGCGTGTAGTGACGCAAGTGCTTCGCTGCCTGCTCCGCCAACAATTCCTCCTTCTTATTCCACTCGCCTCGCGACATTACGCACTGCCAGATCTACGAAAAAAAAACCACAACTGAGACAATTCCGATTTTATTCACGATGGAATAAGGTAGGTTATAAGTTGATCAGATTGCCATGTCGACATGCGAAACGCCACGTCGCGAAAGGAACATCGTATTGGCCGAAAGACTCGGCCGCAACGCGCTCAGTTCGCTGTAGCATTTCATTACGACTCGTCATCAAGTTTCATCATGTAAGATTCTGTTTTGTATGAGATAGGTGTTTGTAACTACTTGTGTCAAAGCAATTGAGCTTAGAAACAATTTTACCCAAGGATAACAACATTGTTGTGTTTTAGCTTGGCAGTCAGTTCCTTTGTAGTTCCATGTGGTTTCTTCCAAGAGAGAGCTCCACATAATCCGTCGCCTGACCAGAGCTTGCTTTGCAAGTTAACGGACCGTTAATGCCTTCCACTCAATGCAACGACGATCTGGTGAAGGTCGTGGTCAACACCTGGATGCCGGACAGCATAAGCAGTTGGTTGTATAAATCCTCGGAGGAGGCATTTTTCAGCAGTGGACTTCATTTCGCTGAAAGGATGACGGTGGCTCAGGGCCGGACCGTGAGTTTAGGGGGACCCTGGGCTAATACTACTTAGGGGTTCATCTATTATACTCTTTCGCATTATCGTCTATTTTTGACTTTGATTTGAGTACCTACTTGACTTAGCTGGGCGCCCCTTGAATCCACGGGGCCCTGGGCTGAAGCCCAAAAAGCCATATTATAATAGATCCGGCCCTGCAGTGCCTGGATGCGTACAGTGCCGAGGTCCGGTCGTTGTGAAAATTCTTGGAAGACGCCTTAGCCCAAAAGTGAATGTTTTATCAGTACCGGCGTTAGGGTAGGGCGCGGTTGGGCGACCGCCCAGGGGCGCCGGACTTTGAGGGGCGCCGTTAAGCGGCGCCCCTTTATATTCCCATCTCTGTAAGCGAAAAAAAAAAAACGATGTGTTGGCAACACTAGAATGGAACGCAGTGCTCAATCCGTTCGGTCGTAGCACTACATAGGGTAAGTGCGCTAGTTTTCGTCCAATTATCGGAGTTGCCAACTTTGTGATGCGAAATGAATATCTTAAAATACCCTTACTCATATGTATCATATGTTATTTTAGTCCTTATATAGTCTACTTTACGTTAATATTATATGACAATAAGTAAATACCACGGGTTTTTTTATAAAAAATATTTTATGCAAAAGAGGCGATTTCACTAGTTTTCGTCCAAAAAAATCAGTTTTCGTCCTAGTTTACGCTTGTTTTCGACCACTGTGTAGAAAAAAGGGTGCTGTTGNAGCACTTCCGTAGTTTCTGCGATTTCGTGATGAGTGAGTTAGTCAATCAGTGACCTTAAGGCCCTAGTGGCCCCTAAGGCCCGGTTTTCACCAAGGCTCCGTCCGGTGCGTGCATTTTATAATAACCAATCAGATTCCATTATTTACATATCCTGCAGCCTGAAGAGATGTACCTACATCTCTTCTCATCTCCGCACCACTCCGCTTTGGTGGAAATAGCCTACCAACTTCGACGCACATATCCTTTCGTCTCCGCACCGCTCCGCCTTAGTGAAAACCGGGCCTAAGAGGTACCTACTCTTGATCCCACCGCTGCAACTCCTGTGCAGCCAGGCTCTACAGCTTGACCGGCAATAAAAACCCAACCAGTGAAGGTCAAGTTTGGAAAGTAAAGTTAAACTGTCATTGGACCCGCAACGAAATTAATCGGAAGAATAAAGGAGTTCGAAGTTAAGGTTCAACTTCCCTATTCGACGAAGCTATAGTGAGTCTGCGAAGCGAATTTATACAATTTCTAGACACTGAAGAAGATCAAGAAATAGTAAAAGAATTTTACAGAATAGCTCGATTTCCGAAAGTTTTTGGATGTATAGATGGATAGACTATAGATCGCTCGATTCACGAAGACTTGTTTAGGTGTTATCCTCATATCCCTTCTATGATCTGAGGTTTATCGGTACACGCTAAATTATTCATGAGTGCACACGCACACTACAATAATGACGGATTAAACTCCGCGTACCCTGCGCTTCCCTCAGCCAAAAATTGATGGGGCGCGTCTTCGTGGATCGAACGATCTATACATCTTAGCCGTGTGGCGACGGCAGAGTAGAATACATTTGTCACCAACCCCTACTCTTCCCACGGGTGTCGTAAGAGGCGACTAGGGACAACACATCAAACAGAGAACGGGCAGCAGCGCTCTCTGAAAAACATCAATCTTTTAAACTGCGATCTCCAACCCGCCTGCCAAGCGTGGAGATTATGGCAAAACCCTCCACTATAGTGGAGGAGGCTCATAATCCAGCAGTGGACTGTAAAAGGCTGTTGATGATGATCTATTCTATACATCCAAAAACATTCGGAAATCCGAGCTATTCTGTAAAATGCTTCTTTTACTGTTTCATGCATGCCTATCAGGTTCAGGTACAAGTTTGATTGATCCTCAAAGATGCTATAACCATAACATTTCATTTCCCCATGGCCACCTCGCTATCGTTGAGGCTTGTCCAGTGGCACGCTGGCCGAGATCAACACTACTTATTGACCAAAGTACTCGTAAATATTACGGGACTATTCCCACCTCTCGTTCCCACTGCTGCAACTCCTGTGTAGCCAGGATCTACAGCTTGACCGCCATAAAAACCCAACCAATGAAGGTCAAGTTTGTCCCGGGGGAAAGTTAAACTGTCATTGGACCCGCAACGAAATTAATCAGAAGAACATAGGAGTTCGAAATTAAGGTTCCACTACTCGTAGATATTGGTTGCGTTAGGCGGAATATAGAAATTGTTAGCGCTTATAAACAAAATGGCGGTTTTCGGCTGTTTTCGGCGAGGACAAGTTTTCTAACTTCAACAGTCACATGTTTCATCATTTTTTAGCAGTGACAGCGCTTACAGCCTTGCCACAGGCGGATTACAAGCGTTTCCGAGGCGGCGGAGCGGTAACGCGGCGGGTGTGCAACGTTTCTGCCTAGAGTTTTCGCCGCGGCGTCTCTCCGCCAGGGTGGTAAGGCCCTTACAGCTTAGCGATCGCCATTTCGCTTAAGTGCTTACAATTTCTATTTCTACAGAGGAAATTATTTGTTAGCCTAGGCGCACACTACCGACTTTTAGTCGGCCGATTGTTGAAGCCGATTTTTCATACATCTCGTCTTTACAAGAATGACATCTTATAAAGTTGGTTGTGGTTTTAAAAAATACCACGTTATTCTTGTAAAGAGGCGATATGTCCATACTGATTAATACCATACCGACCCAACTATCGGCCAACTAAAAGTCCGTGGTCTGCGCCTAGACGGATACAGTGGATATCCATTATACGTAAAAATAAAACCAATAATTTTATTTAAGTAAGAAAGTCTTTATTATAAATTTTAAATCCCAATTAAACTATTTAAAAGAAAAGCCTCCACCTGAAACAAATAAAGGATTTGTTAATAAAAGGACGCATTCTTGCCCAAATCATGTACCTAAAGTACAACTATTGAATTTTAGACGAAAAATTCATGATTCTTAAAAAACATTTCCTATTTTTTTTAACATTTGTACCCCCAAAATTATAAAGAAAAGACATTTTTGTTACATGCAATACTTAAGAAAGTATGGCAATAAAAGCAAGGCGATAGCAAAAAATGCGTTTCGTTGGCAGGCAGAAAATGAATTTGCCAACTATTTGTTTTATTTGGTTTCACTTTATAAAAATGAATGTATTTTTGCTTACAAACATGTTTTTTCATTGAGTAGTTTTTGAAGACCGAAACGCCAATGGCCAAAACAATGAGCTCCAAAGCCAAAATAGTGTGCTCTGACAGCGAAAAAAGTTCAACGATCTTACTTTAACATAAGTGACAGAACTGACAGATGATGAGACATCATTTGGAACACAGATTAGAGAGTAGAGTTTTGGAATGCGCATTGGAAGCGTGTTTGGTTTGTTGTGTGTCGTTATTTTTGTTTTAATCCATTACCCGTATTTGGTTTCTGGTGTTTTTACGATCTCAACTACTTGGCTCACACTTGAACCAAGAACGTCCCGATACATTATGCGATTTGGCTGCTGTCGTATAATCCTAGAACCTAACAATAAGGCAAGAACTGACGGACCGGCTTTTGTAAGTACCTTGTTTTTTTTTTAAACGCCTTCCTTCCTGGCCTGGAAATTTGTACCATTGGCCGAATACTTGTAAGTTGTCAATATTCTTTCATGTCGTTTAAATAAAATGTTTGCTTCCAGTTTGCTTCTTACACAAATTGATTTGATATTACCATGTACCTTATTTATGTTTTCTTTAAATATTTTTTTTATTATTATTTGTTGGCATTTTCTGAGTATTTTATGTATTTTTTTTATTTATTTAGCCTTATTACTGCTTTTATTTTATCAGGATATACCTCTTAGTTTAAAAGTTATTACGTTTTCTTTACAATAAGTAATTGAAAGAAAAAAAAACTTTATTTTTTAATCTTAGATATTTTTTGTCATTTTTTTCGTCGTTTCGTTGACAATTGTTTGAATTTGAAAAAAATTTAAAAACCTCAAACTAATACTTTAATGGTTATCACATACCTAAACATTGAAACACCACTAATATAAATGGATAATATGTTCATGCACACAAAATGTTTCTGCCTTCACTTAATTTTAAATATTTGGTTTTAGGTCTACATAATATTATGACAATGAGGTGCATGTCATGCAATATTAAATTGGAGGAGGAGACACAGTACTACAATGTAGGGGATATTGGCGCTCAACTTATTGCACTTATAGCAAGAACTCTCAACTGTGAGGTAATCTACACTAATATTATAAATGCGAAAGTAACTCTGTCTGTCTTGCTTTCACGCCTAAACCACTGAACCGATTTTGGTGAAAGAAGAACGGTCATCTGTGACCCAGGCCCGACAGAAACGAGACATATCTCAGTTTTTTTGTCATGTCTTAATTAGTTAAATTATATATTTTTTATATTCGAAATCTATGTATAACACCAAAATATTACCCTTTGTTTTTGTTTAGGCGTTATACAAAAACT